CTCACCACCACACCACGAAAGCAGAGCCTAGTGCAAACACCAGCAAAGCCTGGTAGAGAATTTTACTCCACGTACTTATTTTTTCCCGAGGAAACTTGACCACTGAATTCCATCACTACCGAAATGCATGAGTGAAAAGTTAAAGGGACGTTTTCTGAATCAAACTTACAAGATAAATATCCCCATTTGAGCACTTGTATTGGCAGATTTTAAGTCGAATCAGCTGATTACAAAATTTTGCAAGAAAAGTACCAGTCTTTATATTTATTTAGCTGCTTTTGCTTTTCTTGGTATCATACCAGTGTGATACCACTTTATTCTTTCTTCATTTTCCATTGTCTTTAGAGGTACCATCTGCTGCTTAAAATTTTGCCCAATTTCTCTACAAGATGCTCCAACTGCAAACTTGTACGTATTTCATACATAAATTGGATAAACTCGCCGGCTGCCCAAACATGCTTGATATGCACCCAAGCGTGAACAATTCACCGGGAATGAAGGAGACAATTTGAAGCACGGAACTCATTTTTACCGCCATTTTTGCCCACTTAAACCTTCGGTTAACCGTTTTCTTGGTTCATGGCGGTGCTCAATAATGACAAATCCAAGCCTTTCGAGTGTCTGACTCACGAGGCTACCTGGCAAGGCTATTTTAATGCTGCTATATAGAGCCCTGGGACAGACCTGACGCAGCTAATACAGAAATGTTTGATGGCGAAATTCTGCCCTCTGGCGATGTTTATCATGCACACCTCTTACTTGTTTCGTATTTTAATCTCGAAGGTTGGTGGGCATGATTGGTATTTATATTTGGGGGGTGAGTCGGACGACTCTGTCTGCCAGCAGACAACGCAAAAGGTACTGAATTTTTGTTTTTGGGGGAGCAAGAAGAAGCCAGTAAGTCTCCTGTGGACCAAGTAATTGCTTACCTTACCTGCTTTCAACACATGATTGGTAACCAGACTTAGCCATTTTCTGTTTTAATGCATCGAGTTTTGTCATGAGACAAATTATGTGCCACAAGGCATGCAATGGGCTTATTTTGTTCCATATTCTTGGCTATTTGCCCCAAGTTTCTTAAGTGGTCCCTCACGGCTGCTTTAGCCAGATGTTTTCTATAGCTGTCATGGTTTGCTGACCGGCAAATGAATGTACTGTATATATGCACTAAATTTTTTAACACAGGAATACTCTCAGCCGCATAGCAATTATAATATGAGTTAAATATTGGTATGTAACAAAGAGACCACCCCATTTAAAATGTGAGGACAACATCTCAAATTTTTGTCATTAAATAGGAATAAACAAGCCCTACTGGATGCATTTCCTGCAGCTGAAAAGGCAAGCAGCAATACTGGCATGGTCATATAAAAGTTATGTTATTTTTGGAGAAGAGAGATTGTTTTGTGGAGCATACCTGTTATTGCCCTTGGCATAGGTTAACCATGACAATCAAAATAAAATGGTTAAAGTGATTTAAAGTGTATTGATTTGTGTGTTGTCAACTTTGTCTGATGTAAACAAGTATACACAAACGAACTGAATAAAAATGCAAGTTGAATGCAGCCAAAAACTAGCTTTAAATATCATGTTTTTATCACAAGTGCTGCTGTCAACAGATAGGCGAGTTGAGATGATGTTCATCATATGGGTTTCTCTAAGTTAGGTTAAGTTGGTCAAGTGCATGGCAAGTGGCAATAGGAATTGTGTAAGAATCAGTAACTCACAACTGCCGCTGTGATGCAAGCAGGTTTTACAGGATGAGATGATGTAAGGCCTCTTTAGGCTAGCCATAGACTACTTTCATGGAAATAAGCATTTCAAGAAACAGTGACAAAATGTTTGTTCTCCCTGACCCCATCTTAACAGAAGCCAGAAGTATGTCTATTGTGTTTAAATTGGTGATGGGCTGATGTGTAGGAGTCCAAGGTTTTTCTGTTTGAGTGTTTTATGTTTGTTGAATTTTCTGTTGTTATTTTGTTATTGAATTCCTTTGCTTTGTTTTGTTTTAAATGTGCGTTGGAAGGGAACTGAGAAGTCCAGCATCAAATTATTGGCGGTAATAATAGAGAGAGAGAGAGAGAGAGAGAGAGAGAGAGAAGGGAGAGGAGAAGAGAGAGGAGAGAAGAGAGAGGAGAGACGAGAGGAGAGAAAGATGAGAGATAGGAGAGAGAGAGAGAGAGAGAGAGAGAGAGAGAGCGAGAGAGAGAAGAGAGAAGAGAGAGAGAGAGAGAGAGAGAGAGGAAGAGAGCGAGAGAGAAGAGAGAGAGCTGAGATGAGAGAGAGGATGAGAGAGAGAGAGAGAGAGAGAGAGATAGAGAGAGGAGAGGGAGAGAGACGAGAGAGCTAGCTCTCGAGAGATGAGAGAGAGAGCTCGAGAGAGAGCTCCGGGAGAGCTCGAGAGAGAGAGGCAGCCGCTCTCTCGCGCTCGAGAGCGAGAGAGAGATATGAGCGAGATCGCTCTCGAGCTCGCGAGGAGAGAGAGCGAGAGGCGAGAGACGCGCTGAGGAAGAATGCGAGACGAGAGATAGGAGAGCTAGAGACGGGCGAGAGAGAGAGAGAGAGAGAGAGAGAGAGAGACGCTTTATTGAGAAAAACATGGCTTTGAGTATCAGCTCATATAGCACATGTGCACAATATACATATGAAGTAGGACACTACTTAGTTGATGATATATCTGTGTTTATAAGAGTGGTTATATGGGGAATACTTGATTTGCGTAGTCGCGTACCACAGCAAAACGTTTGGAGTGTGCTTGCGCTCCTGGTATTTCTGCCAGAGATCGCCACCCACTGCTTTGGAAGCAGATGCATGGGAGACGCTCGCATTTGTTTTCCTAGCGCTCACAATACTGTCATGAAATTACTATGCTCTAACACGCGCCCGGTTGGCCCGCTAGATACCCTTCGCTCGGGTGCGGGGGGGGGGGGCAATTTGACCCCCTCTGAGATCACGGGAACTAAGAAAGCTAGAGACACCAAATCTACAGGGTGTCTTGACCTATACGTGAAATCACTTTGGGTAAGGTTTCAGCTTTCTAGGTCATGACCTTCAGGTCGAATACGCTCAAACAAGGTCAACTTCCAGGTTGATCTCCAAAGCGCCCCCAGAACCTAGGCAGCTGTCTCTAAGCAAAAGGTCACAAGCCCATTTGATGTCATTGACCTTGTTTGCCCCTTTGAAGGTCATGGTGACCAAAATGATATAAGACTGCTCTACGTTTTGCAGTTGAATAAGCGACAAAGATTACGCTAGGCAGTATGTTCCTAAAACAAAACGTTCGACCCGGGTCATCTTAGGCCAGTGGCCTGTTCTGACCTCTAAGAAGTCAATTGACGATGTGATGCCCTGACCTGACGATGACGACGAAGTGCAGTTCCTGCTGTCAGTAAATTCGAAATGGGCACCAGAAACCATCCCATAAAGCAAGCTCTAGAGTAATAAATCAGGTTGGTTTTGACCTTGGTCTGACAATCATACCTGACCTTAGGTCAACGTAATTTGCTCAGTCAATATTTGTGGTGCCTACGAAAGCTTCTCAGAGATGTATGTCTTCGTCAGACACTCCGTTGTTGCATCAGATTGAACGATTCCCTAGAAATTGCCTTCGCAGAAACCATGGGCTGCCTTTGACCTGTTATTGGCCAGCGACCTTACAAGGTTCATCTAAGATTTTTACGTCAAACGATCCGCTATGCAATTTTCTATAGCTAGGCAAAATTTGGCGCGGCTACGCCGCGCCGTTCAGAAACCATTCGGGAAAACCCTGGGGGGGGGGCAATTTGCCCCCTCCCCAACCCGAGCGCGTGTTAATGTATTCTATGTCACTTTAATGGCCTAAGATGTTAAAAAAACGAAATGGATTTGTCAGGTTCCTGATATTACGTCCATGCCAATTTGAAATGGATGTCTTTGTTTGCTGAAGCATCAGCCACGAGCTCATAAGTTCCATCTTTTGTGAATTGATTTTTTCACTCCTTACGGTCTTTTTGCGATGAAATTTTTCAC